TAATTAATAATTTATATGAATGGCGACTTTTGCACATAAATTACACAGCACCACAAAAAAAAAAAAGTGTCTTGCGCGGCAGACCAGACTAGTCATTTCCTATGTATTTTGACGCGCTGAACACGAATCCGAAGTCCGTTTTGCTCCATCACGTCAGGATTTTTTTCTAACCTCCAAAAACCTGTCGGATTTTGAGAGGTAGGCTATTTTTTTAAAAATTGATGGATTTACTTCAAAATTGGTATCTAGGGGTTTTTTGGGTCGCTGATGACGAATTTGAAGTTAGATTTTCAAAATTCAAAATGTCGGCTCCAATATGGCGGACGAATTTTGTAAAAATTGATGGATTTACTTCAAACTTGGTATCTAGGGGTTTTTTGGGTCGCTGATTACGAATCTAAAGTTAGATTTTCAAAATTTAAAATGGCGGCTCCAATATGGCGGACGAATTTTGTTAAAGTTGATGGATTTACTTCAAACTTGGTACCTAGGGGTTTTTTGGGTCGCTGATTACGAATCTGAAGTTAGATTTTCAAAACTAGAAATGGAATTTCTTATATACATAAGTAAGGTATTCACGTCTTTTTATGATAGCGCACACTTTTGTCCTCAAAGGATCTGTGTAATGGTTTTCTTTTCAAATTGGTGCCTCCAGATACAATATCCCTTTTCAGCATCCAACAGTAGTCGGCCATCATATTTATATCCCATCTTCCTTGATAACGACGCTCAAATTCTTTCAGATCTTGATGGAATCGTTCTCCTTGTTCTTCACTGTAATCTCCAAAATTTTCAGGGAATTGATCCCGATGCGTGTCTAAGTAATGCAACTTTATGCTCATTAAGCATCCTAACTTACCAAAGTTTTTAATCATATCACTAACTATTTGCTCCCAATTTTCACTCTTGTGATTACCCAGAAAATTTTTGACAACTGCTTTGAAACTAAGCCTTGCGGCTTTCTCCTTTTTATTCATCTTGGTGATAAATTGCTCATCTTTTAACAATTTGCGAATACGTGGTCCGTCGAAAACACCTTCTTTTAGTTTCGCATCAGAGATTTCTGGAAACTTTTGTTCCAGGTATTTGAAACAGTTTCCTTTTTTATCTAAGGCTTTGACAAACTGTTTAATTGCTCCTAGTTTCGTGTGTAAGGGCGGAATTATCACCTTTGAAGGGTCGATATAATCCGCCATATTGGAGCCGCCATTTTAAATTTTGAAAATCTAACTTTAGATTCGTAATCAACGACCCAAAAAACCCCTAGATACCAAGTTTGAAGTAAATCCATCAATTTTTACAAAATTCGTCCGCCATATTGGAGCCGACATTTTGAATTTTGAAAATCTAACTTCAAATTCGTCATCAGCGACCCAAAAAACCCCTAGATACCAATTTTGAAGTAAATCCATCAATTTTTAAAAAAATAGCCTACCTCTCAAAATCCGACAGGTTTTTGGAGGTTAGAAAAAAATCCTGACGTGATGGAGCAAAACGGACTTCGGATTCGTGTTCAGCGCGTCAAAATACATAGGAAATGACTAGTCTGGTCTGCCGCGCACGACACTTTTTTTTTGTGGGGCTGTGTTATTATAATACAATTAAATATGATTAAATGAAACCTGATTTCTGAATATTGAGTATGCTTCATCGAATAATTTACAAACTTCATTGAGCTGCGAGTTAAATTATCTTTAATTTTATCTTTATTTTTAGTTTGAAAGTTCCGAAATTTTTAAAATTGTTTCATGTTAATTAAAAGTAATGAATTATTTTTTAAAAAAAAAATAATAAATTGAATTACATATATACACGCGTAAACTGGACTCGCTTAAGAATATTTAATATTTAAAATTACTGAATATGGGCATATGTGATTCCGATGTCTAAAGTGGAGTTTTAAAAATGAGCGTTTCTGGTTTATTGCACTGATTGCATTTATGGTTTATAACCTTTCCTGAAAAAAATTAATATTTAAATTAACACATGTATATCAGTAAAATTAGTATATTATATGTGACTTGGTCTATGAAACGGGACTTTACGTGCGAAAACAAATTTTCGAGTTGTTGTACTTTTGTTTCTCTTGACTTTAAGCAAACTTTCAAAAAACTTCTAAACAAATCATGACATTTTGGTTTTCACCACTTCAAACAGCGTTTCAAACGCGAATCGAATCAACAAAAAAGTGAAAAATAATTTTTTGACACATAAGGTCCCTTTTCATAGACCAGGTCACATATTATAAAGTAAACTCATAAAATGTACTTACTGTTTAGTGATTCCCAGAGCTCTTGTTTGTATTTTTATACACATTTTTCTTGCGTTTTTCTCAACGATACTGCCTCCATGTAACATTTGACTTCCCGTGAGAATTTTATTCAATTGATTACACCATTGATTGATAACATGGTTGACTACTAGACAGACATAATTCTCAACTAGTAACTCTTTATGCTCTCTACAGTGAAGCCACTCGAAATCTAGTTTTGGTTTTACATAACCTACCAAAGTAGGACCAAGATTTCTTGGGAAACAAATTCGTGGTAATTTTCGGTAAATGGCATTACAGGCTAGCGTATAGCCACGTTCAAAATAATCTAATGCAGCAGTTTTGATGTTTGTTTGATTTTTATGAACAAAGAAAACCTTTTCGCATTCCGAACAATTTTGGCAATCATATTTACTCAAAAGTAATCTCGCAAACGTTGCGGCATTGCGTTGATTGGTTTTAAAACCTAGCCGTGATTTTTTAAAACTCGGATTTGGCGGATGTTCCGGCTCATCATCCACATATGCGACTTTTGTACGCTCTGCCTCCTTATTTTCTTCATTTTCTACTATTGTGAGTAGTGAAAATAAGGAAGATCCACAATCTTCTTTGCAGTTAGCGCCAATAGCATGTGGAGACGTCAAATTATTGATGCAGATCGATTTAAAAATTCCATCTGCTTGAGAGCAATTTAATTTTGTGAATCGACCGCTATGGCTTCTGAAAACTCCAAAAAGATTTTCCAAGCAATCTTGATTCAGAAGGCCCAATTTCAAAAACGAGAATCCTTTTTCCCGACATCTTTCCCAGACTATTTTGAAAGCATCTAAAATCTGAGGCCATGCTTTTAAGCAGGGAGGATCTGGCAGAGGTTGATGCGATATTTTATCGACAAATTTCATTTGTTTTAATCTATTTTTAGTCGTCTTTCAAAATTCAATATGAGGACTACCATCGCAAATAACACCTCTTAAAGGCTTGTCTGGGTTAATGTTTTGCCCACTTATCGAATCAAAAAGTTTGTCTTGTAAAAGGCAAAATAGCGCAGTCTCTTCAGCTTTACTTGTCAATTTTAGACGTCCTCTTGGCGTTTGAACAGTTTCTAGAAGAAGAAAATATATATTTAATAAGAATAATGGCTGAATGTTATGCGATAACCACAAAATCAATCCAATGAAATATTCTATATACATATATATGATAATAATACTATATACCACCAAGATGAATAGCGTCCAAAATGTGTGTGGCCATAGTTTCGCTAAGCGTTTGTACGCAGACAGAAACTTTCATTTTTTTAATTTTCCCGGGTCTGACGTGTTCTTCCGTTAGTTTTGTTAATCTTTTGCGAAGAGAATCACAATGCTGGTCCATTTCAAATGCATCTTGAATAAAATCCCAAGAGGCGTATTTTTTTTCAACAGAAGAATTTCTGCCAGCCTCAACAAAGTTTGTTACGACGTCCTTAACGGTAAAATTATTTCGAACACTCTTATGAACATGGACAGGATCGAAGATCATAATGAGTTTAACACCTTCTACTTCTACTTGAACCGGATGTCCTTGAAAATTCCATTGAATTAATTAATATAGGGGAGACTGACAAACAATGGGACAGTTTAAACAGTAGGACACTTTAATTTTCTGAAAAACTACTAAAAGAAACTCGACCAGAATTAAAAATTAAACCATGTTTATGACAACACACTATCTCCAGAGTAAATTTTTTCTTCAAATACAATGCTGATTTTTATATAGATAAGACAGTTTTAAAAAAAAGTGTCACTGTTACTTCGTTTACTCATGTTTTTAAGTATAATATCCAATAATTTAAAATATATATATATACATATATGTTCAAAGATATAAAAGTAGTATGAATGTATATGTAATATATGTAACATATGTAATAACCCATACAGCACTTTAACTTTCCTAAACCTTTATTAAAGTTGTGCGTGCCAACTTGGAAAAGTTTACCGTAAAGCTTAGTACAGGTTGTGTAAAGATTTAAATGTCCGCATTTGAGTAAATGTTTAGCGTAAAAGTTGCCTGAATCTTTAAATTCAATTTTCGGTCAAGTTTTAGCGCGAAAGTTGCCTGAACATTTAAATTAAATATTCGGTCAAGTTGTAGCGCGAAAGTTGCCTGAACATTTAAATTAAATATTCGGTAAAAGTTTAATATAAAGTTTGCTTGAAAATTTAAATTAAATCTTTATTAAAATTTTAGCTTAAAAATTGCCTGAATATTTGAATTAAATCTTTATTAAAATTTTAGCTTAAAAATTGCCTAAATATTTAAATTACATTTTCGTTAAATTTTTAGCGGAAATAAATTTTTTTAATATTGAAATAATATTTAAAAAAATATTAATTGTAAATGATTCAGTGAATTAAAATTAACACAAAAAATAACAAATTAAAAATGATAAAGGTAAATGAAACTTTAAATTAAATGAACACAAATATATTTATAATAACGCATTTTCAAACAGTTTTCAAAAAAATTAGACAAACATATTTATAATATTAAGAACCTTACAAATTGATCTTTCGTTGTTGAATTTACGAAGAAATGTTATTACCTAGCAGTTTTGATTTTAAAAATGTCTGTGCTTAACCTAGATTATTATTTAAAATTTTACGTTGTTTTATTTTAAAAAATTACCAAAACCGTTAAATCTTCTAATTATACTCAACTTTCATTACATTCATAAGGTCTTAAATTAAAAATAAACATTTTTATATAAATAATTAATTAAATTAAATAATTAAATCACACTAAATAAGTTAATTCTTGCTGCTTGATCTGTGGAAAATCTATATTTGTGCATTATTTTCAGCTTGTTGTTAATAATCCCAAAACAAAGGCAGGTCCAAAGAAAAAACCAGACGTTTTTTTCCCATTTGATAAAATTAGTATCCCGTAAGTCGACTAATTTTAAAATTATTTCCACGTAGTAAAACTTTTAAGATCGAATTTTTTCCACACCAGCAGGAAAATCAATTGTTGATGATAGACTCTTCAAAGTTTCCTTCGATTTTCTTGCTTTTGTAATTAAATTCTAAAAATTAAAAAAATTTTAAACTTTTTATTTGTTTGAAAAAAAGGTTGAAAAATTATTAATTAATTAAATAATTAATACATATTAATATTAATAAAATTAATAATAATAATAATAATAATAATGTTCATTATCAATTCAATAATTACTTATTTCTTCCTCTTTGATAATGAACCTCGAAGTTAACAGAAAAAAGTTTCAAGAAAGGATTTTGAGAAAATTATTATTTTAGAAAAATAATAATTTATAATTTTATTTACCGAAAGATATGCGGAAACAAAACTTTTCTGTATTACAAGAAAGAGAGTATTGCAAATCATGATAAAACAAATAATGGCAAGCTCAATGGCATCTTTTTTTGCCAATGAAATAAAAAATGTAACTTTTCTTTAAGAACCTAAAAATATAAAATTATCAAATAACTCAATAATAACAAACAAAATAATCCCACATAAATCGGTATTTAAAATTCAAGACCTTTTCCAAATTTTCGGAAAATTGCAGTAAAGATTTTAATCAAATTTCCTTGTATAAAAAATAGATTAAAAGAAATAAAGTAATAAAAGAAAATGAATAAATTTTGTTGTATAGAATTTATTATATGTATAATTAAAAATTTTTTTAATTAAAAAAATGTTTTAAATTAGAAAAATTTGGAATTTGTTTAAAATGCAAGATATATTTTAGGTTATTCCAAAAATTTGAAAAATTTCTGACCTTTCCGAGATTTGTGGATTATTTTCAGAATTCCGTAGAAATATATTTAAATGAAAAAGAAAAATTACCTCAATTAAACGAATAAATCCCAAAAACTGGATAGAAACATTTTGTTGCAATTAAAAAACATCATGAATAATTTGTAAAAAAAAGAATTTATTACATTTTTTTTTAATTTTAAAAATCGTTTCGCCGGCAGTTTCATTGTTTTCGACATTTTGCAAATATTCTCGATGATTAACCGCATTTTTTGAAAAATTGGAATTAATGCTGTTTAAAAAAATATTTATTTTAATAAACAAAAAATAATAATTTGTCAACTATTTATAACAATAATTTATAAAAAAACTAATAAAAAAATAATTTTTGAAAAACATTTAATAATAATAAATTATAAAAATAATTTGTAAAAACAATTTATAAAAATAAATATAATCAGTTTAATTATTTTTATACTCACTATCAATGTATTTGGCAGCTTTTAAATTCATTAAGTTGTAAAATAATTTTCGAGTATTATAGTAGAAGGCGTAAATATTCTCCGACAATGTGAAATCAGAGAAGAAATTTAAATGAATCGTTCCGTAACTTGAAGAAGAAGTTGGTAAACCAGCAAAAATTCTGCTACCCAAATTACCAATTATTAAAATTTTATACTTCCTCTGAAACAGTAAAATAACAAAATTTGGATATAATTATTATTGATGAACGGAAACGCAATCTCTATAATTCGAATTTGCTTAGAAAATAAAAAGGCAAAGAATGTTTTTAAACAATTAGTATTTTAATTAATTGATAAACAAATCCAGAAAAGTAGAGATGTTTCCTAACTTTTCTCTAACTTTTTTTGGTTCTTAAAAACACTGTTTAATTATTTTGTACGTGTGATTAATTTTCATAAGTTTTTCATAATAAATTTTTTGGTATTGATTAATTTTAAAGAAAGAAACACAATGGATTTTTGTAGGAGGATCCACTTAAACGTTAAATATTAATTATCATCATATTCCCAAGTAGCACGGTATATCACTCGAATATCATGGTGATATCCAGCGTTAATATTCCTGTGACATTCAGATGATATCAAAATGTCCGCTCCATGGTGATATCACACAGTGATATTCCTGTGGCATTCGTGCGATATCACTGTGACATTCGTGTGATATTGAGGGAATATTCCCTCAATATCACACAAATTTTCCCAGTTCATCAATTTTTTCATATTTTTTTTATTTTTTTCTTTTAATTACGTTAATTAATATAATTAGTATAATTAAAGTAATTAAAAGAAAAAAATATAAAAATTTGAAAAAATTGATGAACTGGGAATATTCGTGTGATATTGAGGGAATATTCCCTCAATATCACACGAATGTCACAGTGATATCACCGTGTGATATCGCACGAATGTCACAGGAATATCACCATGAAGCGGACATTTTGATATCATCTGAATGTCACAGGAATATTCCCGCTGGATATTACCATGATATTCGAGTGATATACCGTGCTACTTGGGTTTGTACCGTAAAATCGGGTGTTAAGGTATTTTTTTCCAACGATTTTGAATCGATCTTCTGAGTCAAAAAATCAGTCTAGCTGCCTCTAACTGATTTTAAATTAAAGCTTGGGATATAAACAGTATTACGTGATAGTATATTGAACAAAAATTTACGTCACTTAACTTCAAAACAAAACAAGCAAAGCATTTTTTTTGCGAATTTTTAAAGTCTCAAAACATTGTGTTTGACAAGTAATTTTGCAATTTTTGAAAATTCCGCAAACTCATAACTTTAGTATTCTATTATTTTGTAATCAAAACGTTTTCTTTGGATTTATTTTATATAAATACAATTTCGAGATCTCTTAATTTTAATCGTAAAATGTACCTTTTCGACATTTATTGAAATGTTAAGGAATTTACTGTTTATATAATTTTCAGTAAAAATACGTATTAAAGTGATTTGTTTAACCAAATTACACGGCATTAAGTTTTTTTTTAGTCATTTTTAAATAAAATTGATCGAGTTACAATATCAATTTAATTTAAAATTGCATCAGATTCTAAATAAAGTAATGTGCAATTATTTTAAAATGTTTAATTTATTTATGTTTTATAAAAAAAAGTTTCTAAACAAAAAGGTATTTTTAAATGATTTTTTTAATGAAAAAACCTTAAGACCTCGTTTCAGACTTTTATGAATTTTTGCTGTTTTCTCAAAATTATTCGTATTTCTAAATGCAAACTGTAACTTTCATCATAGATTCTCAAAGTAGAGATCTTAAGTAAATTAAAAAACAAATTTAATTTCCATTTCATTTTCTAAAACATGTAGAAATATTGACTCAAACTTTTTTTGTGTATCTTAACACCCCATTTTACGGTATGTGATTTTCGCAAAAAATCGTAATTGAAAAAAATTTCATTATTACCTGAAATCTAATCTGAATAATTAGAACCCAAGCTTCAGGCGATTACAACCACTCTAGCCAATTAAAAAGGAATGAATTTCCGTGATGGTATTTTCATTCGGTATCGTTGAAAATTAATTTTACTGTAAAATAAGTATTAATAATAAGTTCTAGATACCTATGTCTAAATCTATTTTAATAAATAAAATTTTTCTTTATTAAGTTTCTCAACAAAATTTAATTTTCATATTTATTTAATTATTTACTTAGAATATTTCCTACCTTTTCTCTATTTTTAGACGGAATTTTGACTATTTCCAGGAACCAAAATTCTAAATTTCAATTTTTCAATATAAAAAATAAAACAGTAAATTTTTTAATTTAAAATTTCGAATTGAAATTTTCAGTAATTATTTTTTTTAGTATGGAAAGAAATTTTATATATATATATATTATAATTACAAAAATACTCACTATTTTGAATACGATTAAAGACTGAAAATAATTTGCCTCATCTCGGATTTTCCGTGCTCTTTATTCAAGATTATGTGCCAATGGGAGCACTATAATCCTACTTTTGCAAGGCACTTTCCATGCTTTTGTTACAACGTTATCAACATGAATTAAATGGTTATTTGAACTTTGACTTTGAGAAGCATAATGTATGTTCAAAAAGCTTGAGTCAAGATCATGGTATAATTTTTCAATAGGTAAATACAATTTTCCAATCAAGCAAATTTTTCCACTTTGTTGCTGCACAATGTTGCTTATTACGGCAAAGTTTCCATCATCTAATAAAACACATGAATCTTTTGAATTATTACAATTTAGATTTAACGTTTCGGTTTTTAAGATTTTAAATTGGTGAACACCAAAAGGAATCTCATTTGTTAGTGGTCCATTATAATGTTCTCCTTGTAAATCCATTTTTGAACTGGAGGACAAGGACTCAGGAATTTCCATACTATCTATACTGGTCTTTTCTAATTCACTATATCGGCGAGCTATTTGCTCAAGAGGTTTTTCCCCTTTTCGAATCATTTTTTTGATTGTAAGCATATAATTTTCGAAACGGAATGCACTGAATTTATCCAAATTTCCAAAGCGTTTTACATCTGCACAAATGTGTAGTAAATTATGTACGTTTTGTGATACATATTTTTCGGCGTAAATATTTGGAAATTCTTTAACAAATCGGTTTAGAAGATTATCGGCATAATCAATATTAGACTGGACTCGCGAAAGATCTGCATTAACTAAAATTGTAGCTGCAAAATGCAACAATAAGAAATGCGAATATATTTCAGGTTTTTCTTTCAAATAAAAAATTTTTTTCAAAACGATTGGGCCTGTGTAAAGGAGAAACGTTCGAAACTCAGTGGCCTTCCAGAATTTGAAGTCAGAAAGTAGTCGTGGTTTTCTTGCAAATTCTGATGGAGCGCTGCGACGTAGTTTTAATAACATTTTTGATATATTATTTACTTCTTTTGTTGACAATCTTACTTTTAGAGGTCCAAGTATCCAAAGTGTTATTAATTTTTTCATGACACCTAACAGAATCAGGTGCATATAGTCGAGCGGAACCGAAGATATATAACCAAATCCTGGAATGTTTGTCAGATTGGGCTTAACGTTTGATTCTGATGTGTCGTCGTCAGTTTTTAATTTGAACGGTCCAGTTCCTGGAAAGCAAATTTGTCCTCTTTGTTTAGAATTTTTTGTTTTCGGTTTAGTTATAACTTAAGTTCCACCTATATTACACTTTGGACAACTGTCGTATCCGGTGTGTCCCTTTAAATACAGAAAAAAAGCTTTTGCTGGTGTATCGCAGATTAAAACGTCAAACGATACAGTCACGTTTTCATCTCTCAGTCCACAGTTGATTATCGTAGTGGCTTCGTCTACAAAATGTTTTAAAAATTCGTTTGCATCGTGTGGTTTTTCTCTGCCATAATATACACCAACGGGATACACTTCTTTCGAATTCATTTCAGAACATAAAATTAGCCATAAACTTTCTTTGCATGATGTATAAATGGGTAAACCATCGACGTTTACAGCTAATTTTATATGTCTCGTTGTTACTCCTTTTTTTTTGTTTTCTCTTATAATTGACCTTACTGCCCTTTCTAATCCCAGATGAAGATATTCTCCACCATTTATTTCATAAATTGTCGTGTACTTATCAGTTCCTAGTAAAGTTCGCGCATCCAATGGTAAATTTACATGTTCAGTAAATGATCGGAAAATCAATAGCAAAACAGTTAATGCGACTAATGTAATATGAAACCTCAGCGCCCAGAAACGTAATTTTTTTAACAAGATAGAATTTTTTGTGTCTTCGTTGTCCTTTGTTTCCTCTTCATTGTCAGGATTATTTTCAACGATATCGTCGTCTGACAAATCACATTCCGATTCACAACAACTATTGTCAAATAAGGAGCCATCACTGCTTTCATCAGAATTAAAAAAATCTTCATCTTCTGAGCTTAATTCTTCAGAGTTCACAGGAAGAGGTTGTTCAATAATTGATTCAGAAGAACTGACTACATCTGACTCAGAAGAACTGAATGCATCTGTTACACATTTTTCTCTTTCATTAGAAATCAGTGGTTGTTCTTTATTAACACTCTCATTTTTCGGTGGTTTTTCTATCTTAGAAGTTTCGACTTGTCGTTTAACAAACTGACAATCTTGAAGCGTTTCATTACTAACAATACGTCGGAAATGCCTCTCCGAGTAGCCGCAAAATTTTGATGTAGAACGTTTCTTGATCTGAAGTTTGATAGCTGGAATAAAATATTTACTCTCAAATTCTAATTTATATTAATTTTTAAATATCTGCTTCATTATTAATTATAATAATTTTCAATTACTTCTATTAATCGGTAAATTATTTAAGGGGGGCGCCTACTTTAGAATGTAAAAAACTGCGTACATTTCAGGAATTTTTTTCTCAAACACATTTAAATAAATTGATGCGAGATTTAGTGTATGTTTTCTTATATATTTAAATCTTTGAAATATAATTTTTTGATTAAATGAAAATAGAATTTAATAATAAAATAAACGCCATATATATAACGTCTCGCTGCTGAAATTTTCCCATTGCGTACAACCTAGGGTCCACAATTCTTATCCAAAACAAAAAAACAAAATTTTTTCTTTAAATATACATTATTGCCTTCTGTATGAATTAAAAGATTTCAATAGAAAGTAAAAACTGACATTTTTACATGACTTTTTTAAAAAAAATTTAATTTTCGCCAAAAAAAATCTCATTTTTTCTTTAAAAAAAAGCACTAAATTTAACTCTATCAAAAACAAATTTAATTCATACAGAAGAGACACTTTTTATCTTCAAAACAAGCCCAGGTAGACCTTAATCGGTTGAATAGATTTTTGTCTATCGTGTACGCAAACTACAAAAACAGTGTTTTGAAAAAAACGAGTTTAAAGATTGAAAAACATATAAGTGCTGTTTTTTAAAAACTTACGGCAGTCACAGGCCTCGATGAACGACTATTTTTTTTATGGGTAGCTCTTAGATAAGACGACATTTTACTGATAAATGGTAATTTTAATGGTAGATGTAATAGTAGATAAGCGCAACAAATTATGAAAAGTATTAGAGACCGCGAGTGGATTCGCGCGCCAGGCCACGCGCTTTATTGCGTTCTACAAGCTGTAACTCGAAAAATATTTTGTATTTTGACATAATATTTTAAGAGCATATTCTCTGATAGTTGTACTTTCAGTTAAGACAACTTTTAAAAAATCGATTTTTTTGACCCGATAAAGTAGGCGCCCCCCTTAAATTATTATTGATTTTCAATTCAATGATATTCTTTTTAAGTACAAAATTACTGAATGTATCGTAGTAAAAATAATCAGAAAAAGTTTCAGTAAAATGCCACTGTGCACCTGAGTGAATTCAAAGAAAATTTTTAAATAAGTTAAATCTGCAAGCAAATTTTGTATCCAGACTGTAATATCAAGAGAAAAAGGACAAAATTTAGAAAACTTTCTACGCGCTTTTTCTGGCATCAAAAATAAAATGCAAAAGCTTGATTTTCCACATTTTTTTAAAATTTAGGGCCTAAAAATTAAAATAGTATATTTTTATAGTATATATACCTATATAGTTCTAAATTCATTTCTTCTACCTTTGAATATAATGCTATAAAATTGACTGTTTTTGGCTAGAAACATTTCTTCAATTATTGTATTACACTAAATTTAAATGTTATAAGACATATAAAATATTATCGTATTTATTATTACTAAATTTTCTTTCTATTAGAGATAGTTCGTACATTTTCCCCACAAAGTACAGTTGAAGCTAAAAAAAATTTTTTTTTTCAAAAATGTTTCTGTTAATTTCATTTCGAATCCAAAAATAGTTTCAATTTTAATATCCCCTTACAATGAAAGAAGAAATTGAATCGTATACAGAAATAATTTAGGTCATGCTCGTCATTCTGTATTCCTGTCACAGCAACAACTAAAGCAGTTGAGTATTTCAACGATACCGTTCGTAATAACTACGGTTGGGGTAAAATAGAAAAACTTTTGAATGATTTACACTCAATTCAGGCAGTTTCAAAGGCATCAAATATTTGAATCTTCTGAACCTTATTACCTGAACCTAGCTTAAGTGTTTTTCAATCAAGAATCTCTGGATTAACCTAAATGATTAGGTTCAGGAACTGCTCAATCATACTCAAATGTCTGAGATTCCAAAAGCATTTCTTTCAGTGTATCAGCTAACAATAAATAAAAAAATTAAATCATATGTGTACCACGATAAGTGTAAAAAATTGCCCCCCTATGTATTTTATCCATATAATCACTAAAAAAATTCTGATGGATAGTGTATAAATACTGGAAAGTTTTCAAAGAAATATGTACAAATTAAGTTGTATTAAAATGTTTTATCAAATATAATCAATTGAAAACAACTCCAAAAAATATATAGAAGAAAAAATAATAAACTTTCAGTTTCTGAAGAGGACTGACTCGGAGTGATCTATTTATCTTTTTAATAATACAAGAAAAATTTTGTTCTACAGTTGACACTGAATTTTTGTCAAGTTTTGCACTTCTTAATTGATTTAGTTAGTATAATTATCCATTTTTCTCCGTACATTGCGTGGATCCTTTCGTAGTTATTTCGTGTTGATTATATGCAAAAGCAGCTAACATATCAAAAAAATTAATGTAAAAAAGTAGCTTAACGCAAAAAATAAAATGCAATGATAAATGTATAGATAACACAAGGACACAAAAAATTAATTTTTGTCTCAACTTTTTAAAATAAAATAAAAAAATTGGTGAAATAAGCAGTTATTAAATCAATTTTAAAAGATTGAGTCAATCTGACAATTCTGACTTCCAATTTGGATTCAGTGTAAAAAAAATATATGGAAATACAATACAATAGTGTGTAAAGAAAAAAATTTTAATGATTAAAAAGTAAAAATTCTAGAAAAAAATGCATATAAAAAAATTAAATAAACAAAAATAATAATGCAAATTTAAAAAAGTACGGTTTTAACGTAAGTACTATTTATTGTTTGATTAACATGGTTTTTCATGAAATATATTTTCTTGTTTTCAGGTAAAACATTAAATTTTAATAGCATCACAGCCTGTTTAATAGATAATAATTTTTATTGAGTATAAATAAGTATAAATAAGCAACGTGTGAGATTCAAATTGCATGCTTATAACTAATTTTTCATTTATATTACCTTTACGTTGTTTACTCTGTTCATAATTTTTCTCGTGTCTAGGGGCTTGCGTTAATGTTGAGGAATTTTGAGATGACGGCCCTGCTAAACTTTCATTATTTATTTCCTTATCGGAATTCGTTTCTGACATGATGATGCTGACACTTTTTCTTGAAAAAAGTTTTAATATTATTATTGTTAACACAACTTTTTCTATTATTAAATATTAAATTTTCTAATATTAAAAGAACAGCAGAAAGTGTTTACAAATATAACAACTATAATAAATAAAAGTTGAAACATATTTCACTGCATTGCACCATGTAGAAATTGAGGTTAGGAACCTTTATAGAGGTGTATTTAAACTACATTAAAAAAATTTAAGTACTTTATAATGATTCACTTAATATACTTACAGGAAAAATTATTTATGCACTAAAATATTACACGTATAAGTATAGCAAATTTTTTTTTAATTTAATAACGAAATATCAAAGATATCAACATACCATAAACTGCCCCTCTGCTCCAGGCCACTATTTTGACAGCTGATTTGTAATTACACATTTTTACACATAAAAACGCGGCTACGTAACTCACGCTAAATATATACATAAAACATGATTGGTGAAACGAAAAAAAATTGTCCAATTGGACCAATATCTTTCTTCTGTTGAGCTGAAATCACTGCGCAGGTCAGCTTAATTTGTTCCGTTTTGCGGGAAACCGGCATTTTAAACTTTTAGCATCCTTTTGGGCAAGATGTATACATATATCTATGTATTCGGAGTCCGTTTTTGGACATCAAGTGATGAGGTCTCATATGTTTTTACTGTCGTTTTTGCGTAGATTTCCCTACGCCTTACTGTTATAAGCTGTTTGTGTGTTAAACATGCTTTTTTTCTAATTAAATAATATTTGATTTACACCTGTGGTCTATTTATTGTGAAAATTGTGCTTTTTTTGTCGTTTATAAATTGTTGAATTTGTGTCAATTCTATTTACTCATCTATATAGAAAGTTAATATCTATACCTGTGGAGCTAATAAATTGTATTATTACCTATATGAATTTTCTGCAAGAAGTCCTTTGTCCTTATTTGATGATTTAAGGTAGGAGCTTTTATTTTTATTTTCTTTTGCAATTTGCTGCTCCTAATAAACTGGATACAAATGATCTATCCTACTATTGGGATCTGACATTCGTACACATGCCATCTGGTGTTGAAAAATGTAACTAGTTTTGGATAACTGTTTGTGTCACTTGCAATTGTAGTTCCGCTATCATTGTTAATTATTTTATCATTATGAATGAAGCTACATTTTTACCGCGTGAGAAATCTTCCTGCAGAATTAAGTGTTCTGTGAGAGGCTGTGGCAGTACTGTAGCGAAAAATTTAAGCGTAATTTTCCATAAATTTCCGAAACCAAAACAACGAGTAGTGGATGTGAAAAATACGTTCGATAATTTTGAAAAAGTCGATCAATT